GGTGGGTGCATGCCGTATGTATTGTGTTGCATTCCTTGCCTATTGTCGTTTGTGTTGGCTTCTCTTTCCACCAGGCAAGAGCATAAAGTAGCTCGGAGATGGCTACAAAACAAGGTGGCTTGGATTATTTGATACTATTGTGCAAGTTGGCTGTAGTGCACGTCGCGTCCGCCGTTGACCTTACTTGTAGGCGTGCCGTGTTGTACGGAGATCAAAGCACTCAATGCTAGAGAACAACCGTAACCTTCCCTCTGTCTTTTCCTCCCTTTCCCCTCCAGGACTCATCATGCCCATTTTGTTGTACCCTACCTCCAAGAATCGGCCTCTGTTTTGGTGTCGGAATTCGAGTTGTTGGGTCCCCAAAAAAACAGTGAAGTAGAAACGAAAAGCATCCCTGATAGTATCCAGTCCCTTCGATCCAGTCTCTTCGCAAAAAAAAATGCCGAAAAAATGATTGTCAGCCAGTGGCCGAGGGGCTACAGTCCCTCCAAAGAATCTGAGCTCCTTGCCAGACAAAGGGTGACTTGGCTTCAGTACCAAAAGTGTCCCCAAAACACGTGGGGACACTTTTGATACTGAAGCCAAGTCAGCAAATTTTTCCAGTACCAGGCGATGTACAACTGCAGTAGTTTTGGGGACTGGGGGGCACGCGGATTGGAAGATGTGTACAGCAAGTCAGAGGCCCAAGAGAGGCATCACACAGCATATCACACAGCGTACCACCTCAGCCAAGCACGACAGACCAAGGGTTCTCACGTACGTTGTATATAGCGGAGCCTAGGTTGACTACAGTGCGGTAAGCAGGCCTCGGAGTGTTGTGTCCCAAAGTGTCCCATATCGTCCCCAAAAAGGCTTCCAATACTATAATAGGAGGGTTAACACACGGGTGTTGTTTGAACCAAACAACGCACACGCTGCTGCCGTACCCTTCAATCGCGTCTGTTGATGGTTTGTGGTTCGTCCGTAGCACACAAAAACATTCGTGCGCGCTGCGGTTTTCCTTGATTTTTGTTTGTCGAAAGAGGTCAACAGCAGCGGTACACGAGAGCCTTGGGTACATGGCTTAGTAGCCGATGTATCTACTGGGAGTCAAGACAGAACTCTCTTGGAATCACGTTCTCAGCATGCCAGAGGCGCTTACGGCTTGGTTGAAAACAATGGTTGACGGGGATGTAAAAACCACCTTGTACAATGTGTCACCTGCGTAAGTGATGTGCCATTCCGCCGCGCATGTTCTCCATTCTTTCTCGATACTGTAGCTAGCTCACTCTGTAGCAGTGAGCAGAAGAAAAGCACAGGCAAACAGGGCAAGCCACAAGTTGAACGGCAGTCGAGTGGAGCATCTTAGAAGGAAAGAGCAATGTTGCTGCCTCCGGTTTGGGAGGGATGCCTTGAAAGGGGTTTGTGCAACGAGTACTCGTCATGACGGTGTCACGGCGATATGTCAATGGAAAAGCTGGATTGGCGCCCCCCCCTCCCACGTCCCACCGATGAATCCTTCGGTTCAGCCGAAGCGGTATTCGTCGATGCCGCCAACACGCAACCTTGTCGGCTTGGCCCGAGCACGTAGACGCCAAGCGCGGTGGTTGTGGGCCAGGAGAACAGCGTTAACACGGAACGAAGACAACAGCTGGTGGAAGTCGATCCGAGGACCTTGTTTCGTTGACAAGACTGACGCCATATGTGATTCCATCGGGCAAACGGCTGGTGCTGCCAGGCCGTGTGTGCTCGTGCTTTTTTTTTTGTATAACGTGCAGAAGACCACAACAACACATGCATGCGCACCCTTTGCAACACCCCTCCCCCCTGCATCCACCCCCACCCCAACCCCGACCCCCACCCCTACCACGTGGATTGGAAACAGAGGCCAAGGTAGCGGCGGTGCGGGCCGACTACGACGCGAAGGTGGCGGAGCTGATGGCGGATCTCGAGGCGACCAGGGGCGAGAAGGAACAAATCGACAGCGAGTTGATCTTCCTCAAGGTGTCCCGTGCAGTAGCGTGGCATTTTGGCTTGTTTGATGTGTTCTGACGTCTTTTGTTTCTTGGTTCCTTCTGGCATTTGCTGTGACAACGTGGTTGTAGGCTTTTACATGGCCGAGCGACATATGCAGCGCTAGGATGAGAGACTGTAACACAACCGAGCGATGGCCGCAGCGATGACAACGAGAAGATGGTCTTGAAAGGTACCTCCAAGGTATCCATGTGCACGCTCAGAGATGTCTTTCTATCCTTTCCTTTTTTCCTTGGGAAGCGGCAAGACTCGGAAGAACTGCTCTCTGTCCGGTGTGACCACCGAATCGAGCAAACATCCCGCGGCACCAACACACGTGCACACTGCGGCGGTGGTGCGTACTCTGGTGAAGCGCGCCAGAAGCATGCTCCGTCCTCTCGAGGAAGCGTTGGTCAATGGTCTAACGCTAAGGTATCCAAAACATGAGAGCACGCCCCCACACACATGCCATGCTATCGTCTCCAATTTTGATGGTTTCAACGGATCCTAACCCTCCCCTTTCCACTCTTCGTCGCCACCTGCCGACCCACAAAAACCGGTATCCCAGGCGTCTAGCCGAACAGAGCGGCTCGATTGGAACAAGGAGCGCAAGGCGTTGAACAGGAAAGTCGCCGAGGCGGATACTCGTGCCCGCGAGGCAGCGGACGGGATTGCGAGCGCGGAGGAGGTGAGGTTGTTGTTGTGCCCTCTTTTACCAGCGCGTGATATTTTTTGGACAACAAGGGTGTGGAGTCGGGAGTGCCTTCTGCCGTGGTGCGCGCGTGCAACGATGTCATCTGGTTCATGGGTGCTGTCGTTGCCAGCTGTCGTTGCTGTTTTCGATGTTGTCGTTGCTGTTTTTCAAGAGGGCATCGCCGGGCATCGTTGCCCTTGCTTCGTTACACAACCAATTCTCCATCCCATCTGGTTCACGGATGATGTCATTGCCAGGTGTCTTTGTTGTTTTGGTTGTTGTTGCTGGTGTTCTTCAAAAGAAGGCATCATCGGGCACACGTTCGACCTCGCTCCGTTACACAACGAGTATCTCGTGCGCTGGTGTATTTTGCGGTTCGACGCGCTACGCGTGCGCACCGCACGGCCTTGCATGATGAAGCAGACGCTCAACTATTCAGCATGATGTTGACGGGAGCGTCACAATTCATTCGATAGTGAGAGTAGCAAGCAGCCTATGACCCCTCCCCTCGGTTCCGTTCTTCCTGCCGTCTCTCTCCCCCCCCCCCC